GATCCTGAGATATTTGAAAAACTTCTAGCCGCAGGTGTCTGCGGTGGGGAACGAATGCCCAATTGTCCTTTCCGGGGAGTAACGCGTTCACCACCACACCATGTGGGTCCTTCGTTTCGCTTGTCTATGTTGTCTCAGCATCATGAAGGATTAATGTTTGATTACATGAGATGAGAAAAAGAAAGTCGTGGGGTTTTCAAAGTCGAATGGCACATATGGTTTTATCACCTCAGAATGCTGTCCGTCAATCGATTTATCACGAGCTCTTATCTACTGCATCGGACCAATATCTAGGTATGGAAGCTCAAAAACAAAACAACATTAACCACATTATTCCGGGACTTTTTTCTTATCACTGGGCTTCTACCAATTATTTTTGAAAAATTGTTGGCACATATTTTCAATTTTGAATTATCAATTTAAATCCGGCTCATAGGAAAGCTTACAGTCGTTGTTCCGATCTCTTTTTTTTAAGTTCTTTTTTTATTGTTTATTTTGTAATGCATTTCATTGGTTTAAGTCAGTGTCTTTTACTCAAAGCAAATGATGTTTGGAAAATATGAGGAGTTTTGGTTTCCTAGTCGTTCTTAATGGTGAGGAAAGGAATTTGAGCAGTATATTGACAGCAACCGTTTACTCTTTATGGTGCTAAGCAAAAATGGGAAAGTATTTAAGGAACTGACTAGAATTCGATGGGCGTCTTGACACTTTCGCAGCTACGCCCAGTTTTCCTTAGCATGTTGCATGAGTTATATGTGACTCATACCGGCCAGAGTGTATCCCATCGCGGCGACAGTAACTGCTTTGCTAAGTTGCAGCAGTTTCTACACTATTTCCTAAATGCAGGAGCAGGAAATCGTCTAGGAGTTTATGTACTGGTATTTTTGAAGCAGAAATTCTTCCTATCGTTGTCATTTCTCATTTAGCGACACCAGAGACATCTCCGTTCCCTCTTCGCTATCAACGACCACCGCATCGAAATGAAGAGACTCGTCCGAAAAAGGCTCTTTTAAATTCTGAGCAAGAAAGTGTATGAAAGACTCTTGAACAGCGCGTGGTGCAGCATCTATGTTGCTGATATATTAAATGCAACTATTGTTCTAGAAAAACTATGGATGGCAAAAGACACAGCGGAAAGAATGCTACACATGACTCGTGTCAGCAAAAGTGCCCCAACACTGTATATGGCTCATATCAGTACAAAATTTGCAAGTGATTTTCTTATATAACAGACTATATCATGTGAACCTTTACTTATTTATATACCTGGACGGCCCGAATTCACGAGTTGCGCGGCCAGCAGCATATTTTTCATTCGTTTCTTTGTCTCGTAGTTGTCTTCCATGGTGGTCGTTTAATTCGAGCATGGCGACGAATGCAATTCTCATGCTGTGGTCTGTAAAATCATTGCAGATGCGTGTACAGCGGACTAACTATAGCTACGAATGCGTCGGCCCAACGTATAAGCGGTCGTCCTGGGGGCGTCTGCATTCTCGTAGAGTTCACTCTACAGTTCTTTTCGTCCATCTGTCGTCTGTTTTTCTCATTATATGACCTGCCAATCTACGTTTTGCATTCGATATATATTCTCTTAGGTCTCGAAGATAAGATGGATTTTGTTGACCAGAGCTTCGCATTCCATCTAGATGTTCTGTGTGGCGATTATACTTCTTAAGATATCGTTCAAGCGCTCTGAAGGTAGTTCGCAATATTCTTAACGTGTTTGAAGTATCAGCCCACGTCTTTGCTAAATAAGATAGCGTTGGAATGGCTGTTGAGTCCAGAAGGTGAGCACAGATTTCCGGATTTTTTAGTTGGTGGATGGCTTCTTTAAGAGGAGTGAAAGTGGTCCATACTGCTGTCCTTCTTATATCTAACTTTTCGTTCTTGTTGTTCTCCGTGTTCATTCAGCGCCTAAGGTACATTTACGAGGTGGTCACTGTAATCGTGGAGCTATCCACTTCAATCTGCTCGCCTTGAACCATGAACCAACAATAAATCTTCCGATTTATGCCTAGTCCGACATTTTTTACTTCTTTGAGGCCCCTGATCATCGTCTCTGCTTCGTTAGAACTTCTTAGTTAGTCTTAGTAGCACTTTAGTACCGATTTTGTCGGCGTAATGAAGAATTGAAATGAATTGTCCATCAATACGTATGATTTTCTTATCTCGAACGGATGACTACACTATCCACTGTTTGAGGCACTTTACAGTTTTGTCGATATTGTGTCGCCTTGTCGAACTCCTTTTCCTATGGGTGTGGTAAGAAGTCGATGGAAAAGCTGTATTTTTTAGCGCAATTCCGATGACAGTTAGATAAAGTTCTTATGTAGGACGGGTCTACTCCTTGGTCGGCGATCGCTAATAGGATTGAATCGTTTCGATGCTGAAAGCTGTCAAACGCTTTCTGATAATCGGAAGACTTATAGAGTACACTCAGTAAGCTTATCGGAGGATACTTAAAAGGATCCCTTCGGTATTTTTGAAGAACGGATGTCACCATGATTTGCGAAAAGTACAAGTATATTGTGGCTTCCAGTCCGAAAAGAATAGGCGATGATGTTATCTGATCCCGTGGCTGCGTCTGCTTTCATGCTTTCTATCGCAACTGGAATTTCGGAGGAAAGAATTCCAAACGGTTTTTCTCCAGCGGGCATTTTAGAGTCCAGGACGGAGACTGTACAGCAGAAAAGGTTGGTGCAGAACTTCTCCGTTATTAATTCCATATCATGGCAGGAAGTTTTAGTGACCACATTTACGTTCATTAGAGCTGTCATCGGAACATTATGCTCGCACAAGTCCTGACTATAATTCTTCAGACTGGTTTTTTTTTTTGTGCTGATCCTAGTAATTTCTTCTGCCTGCACCGACGCGAGTCTTTCTGCAAAGCTCTTCTGCTATGGCATTTATTACCAGCAGTACTAAGTACGTTGTACCATGATCATGTTTTATTTTCCTTCTCTTCTCTAGCAACTCATTAGTGGTAGTGAAATGCGATCTGATCTTTTACATGAAGAACTGAAGGGAATTCGGCACAACTTTTCAGTCCTTCGACAAGCAGCTCGTAGTCTTCGTTCAGCTCTTCCATAATTTGTCAATCACGTTTGGATCGGGTTTTACCCAGAATGTCCTCGTCAGATACACCTAGACATTTTGTTCGTGGTCGATGAAGAGAATTCTTCTCCAGCTCGCGACTGAATCGAATATTCACGTGAAGAAGGCGGTAATCGGAACCAGTACGGAATGACGGGACTACCGATCTGTCAACTAGGCAACATCTGTTTGTCAGATTGTAGTCGATCTCCGCATGAGTCATGCCGTTAGGAGACTCCTATGTCCACCGACAGCTCTGTTCTGGGAAAACGAGTTCCCATAGAAGAGACATGCTGCAGACAGGGGCCTTGCAAGACGGTCTTCATTCTTATTTCTTTTATTCCAAATCTTCCGATCTTGTATTTGCTGTCGTTTAACTTTCCAATTTTGGCATTGAAGTCTCCGACAACAAATTTATGATACTCTTTATCATTGTATATAACTTCCTCACACTAGTAGTAAAACGCATTTAATTCGTACCCACCAGCTGTATTGGTCGGTGAGTAGCAATTCATCATAGAGATCTTTTTATGATGCATTAGTTGAAAATGGAAGATTTCTAAGAGAGAGGTTAGGGTCTCGTACGGGTCAATGAGTTGGACAATTGACGGATGGGCGAGAAAGTCTACGCAGCCGACATTCTGCTAATGGATCCTTTCTCCGTGGGTGACAAGGGCCTTGTTGTTTAGTTGGAGTATGTCGGGCTTCTTGCGTTTTGTTTCTTGTGAAGCGAGCACATTGAATTCGACACGATCTGGGGATCCAACAAGAGCTTGTAAATCATTATTTGAGGAGAGTGTTCTTGTATTGCACGTGCAAAATGAGAAACAATCTCCATGACCTTTCGTGTTCGTCAGATGCGGTTACAGTGAGGTCGTGCGTAACACGAGACTTTGTGCGCTTTCACAGGTCGTCTCATAACCTGACGTCATAGACGGAAGCACCTAGTATGTGGCATACTGAAGCGGGCAATTGTTGGTTGAGCAATTTTGCTTTCCCTTGAGTCCTGACTTAACCTTGCGAGGGTGTTCTAAGGTCTCTATCACAACGTCGATCTGCGAGAAGTAACTTTTCGGCAACGATTCCTTTGTTTCATCTTCCTAATAAGTGATTCGGACACGATATTTAAACCGAAATCAGAAATGAACGTAGCAATGAAAAAAATGACAGACGGTCAAGGCCGATTTAGAAGCCGAAATCACTTATGCATCTAAGACACACGCTTTGCTTTGACTATTAGTAAAAATTTTTCTTGTAATATGACACCGATTTTTGGTAAGATTGGAAATGATAAATTACTTAACAATTTACCACTTTTTACAGGTATGTGAAAGCATGACAACGGCTGCAGATTCTAGCGATGAAAACGAGAACATATCTGAAGGCTATTATGATCGTGTGCCAAAGAATCAGGCAAGGAAATTTTTTTCCTCTTTTTTCCGTTCTCGTAACAAGTGAGAAGTTCACTAGTGTGTTTGTAAGGTATTGGTCATGTCCATATAATTAAGACGATCTTTCAGTATCTAGTTTCAAACTACTTTATCGGATTTGGAACGTTTTAAATTTCCAAACTAGAGAATGATTCCGATTTTTGGACATATATTTGGTAGATTTACGAGTGGTATCAGATAATGATGGTATCGGTGAACTTTATTAGATTTGAACTAAACTGGATTCGCGCTCAGTTTCGACCTAGAGTAGTCGCACTATTTCTGTACTTCATACTGATTGTAACTTAGCCGCAGTTCTTTTTTAGCTTTTCAGTTTAAACTATTAGAGTATTTAATAATAGCTGCAAATGACAAAGTGAACCAAAGGCAAATGGCGTTGGCTTACAAAATTGCTAGCTGGATCTTTGATTCCACAACAGAATATATTAGAACAAGTATACAACACATTGGTTAAGGATGCTTTTGAACGACTCAGTTATTGGAAACAGTCGTACGGTAGCTTTCGACAGTGTCTTAGTGTGCAGTTAGCTACAGTAATGCTTTTAGAGGAGCTAAACAGGAAAACTATTTGAACATTGTAGAGGAATATGTTAACGTACAAGTGTAAAGTGTAAAGTATATTGCGCATAGCTGTTAATTATAACAAGCTTCGTTTTGTTACATTAATCATTAGAGTGCTGAGGAAAGCCCTCTGGAGTTTTGTCCTGTTTTTTCTCCTTGTATTCTTATCTCACTGATGAAGTAACTCAGAAGTGGTTCCTATCAAAAGGCAGGCATTCCTAACGATTCTGCAGCATGAAGGCAAACTAAGATAAGGTTTGATTGCGGAGAAAACCCTGTCACACAGTAGTACGGAAGATTTTACTCGGTTCAAATCACATCTAAATTCTTCCAGGAACTAGTAAATATTGGGTAGCGTGTTAATGTTTAACTGCGGTATACGTTTCATTCTTTGACTTCTATAAGAGCGCAAACATAATCGCCAGCATTTCTGTCTTATTTCACCTGATCGTTGGACTTTTTGTTAAATACAGCAGTGGAATCGGTGATTTCATGATAACATGACTGCCGTTTCGGTCATTTTCAAACGTAGAAGGTATAAAAAGTAAAAATTAGGTTGTTAAAATTGTATTCACTAAGTCATCTAACCGTAGTCAATAAATGGTTAGATATACCTTGATGAAAAACCGATTGTCAAGCTGATATTGAATTTATGTAAAACATAACGGATTTGATGAAGCTTAAAGTCGAACGAATTGATCTCCATTCGTACAATGTGGCAATAATAGCCAATTTGAACATTAAACCAACATATGTCCGCTCAAAATGGACTTCACTGGTTGTGGTAAGAACCATTAAAATCTAGAGTCCTTAGCAATAAGATTCTGTCTCTTTGAAATTTTTATTTTCTTGTAATCAGAATTAGTACTTTTGTCTCCGTTTTTACGTTAACGTCTAGAACATGAGAGCATTGGAATTGTCGGAATTTCATCTTTCGTCCAACAAAACGAAATGAGAAGTTCTTGACAGTTGGACTTGCGTTAAGAATGTTAAAAATTTAAGCACTCTTTTCAGTCTCTCTAAAAGTTTTAATCATGAATAACACTAAAAGTCAAGTGACAGTTTTTAAAAATAGTACTCGTTTTCAATAGATAGATACAGCAAGGTGTTTTCTAGAAGTCTGTTATGTTTCGAACTCCTAAGGTGCTCTCGTTATCGAAAAATCATCAGCAGTTGTTGAAAAATCGAGTTCGGACTCTAGTCGTTGATGAAACTGAGGAAAGCGGATAGTTTAGAGAGAAAAGAACTGCGTTGTTGAAAAACTGAAATGTTGTAAGTAAAGTAATTGAAAAGTACATATGACACTTGATGTGGCATATGTTCATTAGACTTCGGTCCATTTGGCGAATCAATGCTGCTATCATATCACAGATGCCATATCTATGTATTTTTTCTCCAGTTACTATCAACATTCCTCCTTTCTCCATTTCTTCTTTTTTAGCAAACCAATCTCTCTGATTCTATGATTGAACATCAAATCATTGAGATCGTTACTGTAAATGCATTTCGCTATCTTATTTTCTTCACAACAAGTCGGGTCATTGGAATTTATTATTTTCATTGATGTGGTCTTCTCTTTTACAGTACTAATGCGGCTTCTACAAGTAGTGGACGAAATTTCCGTTCACTTTATTCGTATGGGAATGTTTCTTGTTTGAATACGATTGTTTTGTCATGTACAAATGAATTTTCGTAGTTTGCTGAGAATATCAGCCCTCTTCACTATTTTGTTTACTCTTTGAGAGTGTTTTTCATCATTTATTTCTGGAATAAGAATGGTTATTTTTGGAAGGTGTAGTTCACTTTCCTAGCGGAAGATGTTTGACATAAGAGGAGGAGCAACGAGAGAGAGAGTGGGCAACACGTTTTTTAAACTTTTTGAAATGTTTTTCTGCTTTTTAAACAAGTAAACTTCTTTTTGACACACATATTTACTATTTAAAATAAGTTATCGATCGATCTTCGATCTTACAATTTTATTTGTTGTCAAGGTAGTGCAGATCTGCCTACAACCGGTACTATCAGATTTATCGCCTACGCTCTTCTCTCAAACTGTTCACAGTGAAATGTCGTTCGTTTAAGTTGTTTTGGAAGAAGAGAATTACTGTTCATATGATTTTATTTCTAGAGATGTCTTGCTGTACAATAATAACAGCAAAGACAATAATGATAACAGTTATAATAGGTGATTACAATATCACCTATGTCAATGGCAGTAATAATAGCATGGCTCGTGCAGCACGATTGGTAGAGGTGCCCTGCAATATCTACCGGATCGATCTTCAGTTCGACCCACTGCACCAGCTCACCAAGCATTCCATCCAACCATCCGTGGTCGGTGGATTGGTACCAGACCTATTTGAGGGTACAGCAACACTGACGCGTTTCATCGGTAAACCGCGCGAGGCACTGTTATATCAGGTACGCTTTCAATCACTTTAACGATAGTTAATGACGTTGAATGCATAGCGCATCCGTCAGAGATTGGTCGTCGTAGAAATGTTTATCCTTTATCCTTTTAATGGTAATACTGGATAAAGCTGTCGGCGTTGATCAATACTTGAGGGATGCGCCATGCATTCGACTTCATTAAGCATTGTTAGAGGTGATTGAATGTATATCTGGCCTTTACAATAACTCACGGTGTCCTACCGATGTATCCAGCCAGTTCTGCTATTCCCCCAGACAAGTCTGGTATCTATTTGCCGACCCCGGAGAGATCGAGGGCTTGGTGAGCCTGGGGTGCGGTGATCGATCCAATGTGTATTACAGGGCGCCTCCGACCACCACACTACAAGCGCTCTCAGTGATACTAATAGCAGTAATAATAGCAATAATAATGGTAATGGTCGTGGCAGTAGTAGTAATAATAATAATAATAATGTTCATAATAATTAGTCACAATAACTGCCCGTGCGCCATTATATAGGTGATTTTATTGTCTATAACGACCGCTTTGAATACGCTTTAAATGATTTGTATCGAATGGATTGTTTCCGTTGTTTTGATTCGAGTTACCTCTTTCTCAATCTGTCCAGTTTTTCGCTGCACTAAATTTCTTCATGTCTACACTATTCACATTAAGTACATGTTATTCGACTTTTTGACTTATTTATCACGTGAGGTTTGTTCCTCATCATTGTTCTCATTGTTCTTTCGTGTACTATGTATTCTTATGTTCAGCGGTTACACGTGGAGAGAAAGTACTGTATCCACTTTTGATTTGCTTAAGAAATTATCATTTCGTGTTCTACTTTAGGTTACGTGTGTTTATTTTGTTATAGTGATCGTATTTATCACGCTGAACTTACTTTTTAACACATACGGCTTGTTGTAACTTAGACACGACCGTGTAACTCAGCGTATGACTGAAAATGTAGGTTTTTCATTCTGAGACAGTGGTGCTTTATTCTTTTCTTATCTTTGCTGTTTTATTTCTAATTTTATTCTTCTTATTCTTCTCTTCCATGGAGCTCACAAAACATTGTTTTTCTTTCGCTTTTGTGACGATAGTGGTTTTTCGAGCAGGTAAGAGGAATGGAATTTCGTCCATCACACCATGACGATCACCTTTCCCAATATGTCATTGGTAATACCAATGAAGGGCGCATGCAATGCACTGGTTAGCTGCTCCATGCAATACACATGGGTTCGACTCGCACCCAACGGTCACAAAACCTTCCATCCCTCCAGGGTCTGCAAATTGTACTAGAACTGCTTGGGATGATAGGAGCATTGACGCAATATGTCAGCAGACCACCGTATAGGCCAAATCTATCGACGTCAGTTTTAAACTCAATTTCGAGTGCGTTTATTCTAGTTTTAATTAGACTTATTAAAGTATACATATATTCATGAACAGTGTGCAAGTTTATCTATTTCATCATTGAGAAATTCTAGGTTTAGGTCCATTGACGAATTAGTTGTTGAAAGTTTCCAATGCAAGTAATTATAAAGCTGGCACGTCACGTAGCAATTCCCTTATTTATCGGCAGTTATCGTCCATGTATTACTCTGTGCCGCGGCTATCCATCAACCAACTTAAATACTTACAACAAATAAACGTCTCTGAAGAAGGTGAAATCGCCAGAACGCCAGCTATTGTATTCTCATGAATTCTATATTAACAGCCTCGTGTCTGCTTATTGAAGAAAAACATTGAATTATAAAGCTGTTTGAAAAACTGATGGTCCCTCGGCCAAGGATGTGATGAACAGGGATCGTGAACTCGTTTGCAATTAGTGTTGCATGTTATATTTTTCTTACAATACTTTTTTGCTGCAATGTCTGATGTTTGAACATTGAGCGAGTTGTCTCGAGCGATTCAATCTGAAAAGTGTTCGGAGTCGCCCAACGGGTCTTAAAGTCTATTTTCTTCTTACTTCACTTTTCAATTTGTATTTTGAAACTACAAATTCGTGTTGTTGCAGTAGTTGTTTCAAGTGTTGTGATTATTTTCATTTTCGGCTTTTTATTTTTATATAACTCGACATCAAATATTGTCGCATTCCAGCACTTCTTGAGCTCTATTAGTTTTCTTGCATTCACTGTCCACGAAACTGTCCGAGGTTTTCAACGGGTAGCTTCTGCAGCTGCTTTATGATTGTGGTCTTCGTTGTGAATGTCGTTGAATTATGGTCGAATCGATTCTCTCTGCAGTACTGAGACTGGTGTGCTTGGGTGCTCTCAGGTTTTCACCAAAGAAGTCGCCAGTCTTTATTGATCGAAGAGAACATTCCACAGACAAGTCCGGTGACAACTTCTGAGCTCTGGAGGAGTGGGTGGCCTAGTTTGTTCGGGCGGGCCCAAATAACGGCCCTGTGTCTATTGAGCAGCATCTTTCAAACATTCACCGTTAATGATCATCACTTCACTTCCAACATTGTTAATCTTTAAGGCTGTCACCTGTCATTAACATAGCAGTTTTGAAACTAAGGTTTTCTTCAATTTTTATTTAAATAATCTTCAGCGAACACTTTCTTCACTACAACAAAAAAGGACGTTAATATTGGTTTGTAGGGCGAAGTTTATATTCTAGCAGAGTCTATTGTGTAAACGCAAAGGTGTAAAACTATTCTGAATAGCAAAGCATAGAAGCTTGAAGTGTGAGAAGGAAATTGATCTTTCGAATGGCCGACGAATATAATATTAATATAATTGCGCTAAAATAATAACGTCGCGAATTCGTCTATTTAGTCATTCACTTCATCACCAATAATTTTTGGCAAGAACTGTTATCGAGAATTTCGTTTTTATTTATTTCAATAATGAGGATTTTATTTCATGGAAGACGAGTTTCGGTCGTTCTAAAATTTTCAGTGCATCTTTGACGAGGAATTCGGCTTACTGCGTTATTCAAGCCGTGAGTCGTCGGCAAAGCGTAAACTCGAACAGATGCGTCTCTCACGAAAGCACTTTCATCCACGTCGTCTACTTGACTTCTTACCGATTCTTAAATGGCTTCCCCATTATAACATAAAAAAGAATCTCATCAGTGACATTATTGGAGGACTGACCGTCGGTATAATGCACGTACCACAAGGTTTGTCTGCTTGTGCTTCTTTTGAGAAAAGTAACAGTAGTAGTTGACCGTCGAATATTTTTCACGTGATTATGTGGTGAACAGGAAGAATCACGGTAGGGTATTTATGATCCAGTCGTGTTCATTCTTTATTTGACACGCGCACCACTTTACAATTAGTGTATTTTGCTACTGGTAGGTAGCACTGGTAGTGATGACTACCTTTAGGTGTCACTGACCTCTTGAAATCCAAAACTCCATCTAGCTTCTATAATGCTGAGATATTTGCAAAACTCCGGACCGCAGGTGTCTGCGGTGGGGAACGAACGCGCTATTGTCTTTTCTGGAGAGTAGCGCGTTCACCACCACACCATGCGGGTCTTTCGTTTCGCCTGTCTCTCAGCTAGTTCTATCGACCACTTGCCATTAGCAATCACCCGTCAATGGGATTGATCTGATGAACCCAAATCGTGGTTGAACCCAGTTTACTCCTCGGAAAGGACAGTAGCGCGTTCGTTCCCCACCGCAGACACCTGCGGTCTGGAGTTTTGCAAGCATCTCAGCATTATAGAAGTTATATTTCCCCACATACTCTGCCATTAAAAAGAATAGGCAGTAAATAAACCTTGCTCAAAAGCCATTCGAGTGAATCATTTTTCAAGATTATTTTTATTATTACTCACTAACTTCATTATAGGAATGGCTTATTCTTCACTTTCTGGGCTTCGCCCTGTGAACGGCCTTTATACCTCACTGTTTCCAGCGTTATTTTACATGTTGTTTGGAACATCGAGGCACGTTTCATTAGGTGAGTTTAGACCAGGTTGCTACATCTTCCTTCCAATCGTCCTAAAATTTTTCACGGTTCTTAAAGCATGTATAACAACTTTTCAACTTTACGTTTGTAATAATAATACCGAAGCCCCTCATTGAAAAGATAAGCGCGGACCGAGTGTTATCTTCCATTTGATCGATGGCTCATTATACTATCTTTTTGCTTAATTTCTCTTCAAGATGTTCTCTCTATCCAGTGAGCAACGTAGTTAAACGTGAGATGTCGTCCCTCGTACCATGGTTTTCATTAACTAATTTGTCTTCCTATTTTTTTTTGGGTCCGCCTGTTTAACTTGCTTCCTTGAGCTCTTTGAATATCGACTTGTCATCATTAGTATTCCATGAGAAGATGACGATATCATTGGCTAATCTGTTATGATTTTTCATCATTGTGTATGCTGTTTTCATCCCAGCCGACCACCTTCATTATTCGTTGTCATGCAGCACGACATTACACCGTTTCGCCCAGATGCAGCAGTTTTGTCAGACTACTTATTCTCTGGGCGAATTAACGAATATCGGTTCGCAAAATGCTCAAATTATTTTTCAATTCATTAGCTCTGAAAGGAACCGTAATTGGGAATGCCTTATGGGTTGAAACTTCGGGGCCGTTTATCTTGCGTTCTTTTTTGAGTCGGGCATATTCCTCATCATATATGAACTCACTAGTCTCATTACCTAAGAAATGGGGGCAAGAAAATGGTGAGTGTTTAAAATGTTGAACTAAGATTTTATTTGTATGATCAGAGAGTGGGCTGCACAGTGGTAGTGGTCTCGTTCATTAAATGGACGCCCCAATCTATCCACGTGTCGTTTCGACCCCACACCGGGCCCGCCAAGCGTTTCATCCATCCGGAATGGGGAAATGATACCGCACTTGTCTGAGAAAAGTTCACTCCACTTGATCCACCTGGAAACGCTCGAGCACGGCCATCTCAGGATTCCAGAGAGAACCGATTCGACCAGCATTCAGCGACACTGTTAACCAATAATACCCCATATGGACAATATAATGTGCATTGCGATCTGGTCGAAACGGCCGTATGGATGGTATGGTGTTCATATTCACTTCATTGGATTTCAAAGGTTGTTTAACACACTATTTTTGATGATTCGATAGTCAATCGAAACCAGTTTGGCCGGGATAGTAGGTGCGAAGCCAGGGAAACTGTTCTTTACACTTAGTCGTTTACAAGAAGACACCCTATTGAATGAGTTCATTTTGCGGCTGCACACTGTAAAATACGACACTTCGAAAAGTACATTGTATCTAAGGAGATAAGTCATCGAGAGGACTTTGTATGTAATTTAGTAATACATATATAAGTTGACTTCAAGGAAATTACACATCGTATCAAGGAAGAGCTGGATATTAACAAACTACTTACCGATGTGTTTTATCGCGTTGAATTTTTGGAAACAATTCTTACTCCTTACTCTTACAATTTTTCACTGATATTTTTGAAGCAGTCCTTAAAACCATTTATACATTTTTCTAAAACCTTCACAATTTATCGAATTACTCCTCCACATAGATCGGAGGCTTTGGCTGGGTTAAGCGATTAAACATCATAACATTGGTATAGGAAGAAACTTCATATTTTTCAATGAAAATGAGGTTCCTTGTGTTAATATAATCACCGTATGGTTCAGTCATGCACTTCATCTGTCAGATGGCCTGGTAATATTGAGATATTCCCTAATTTGCTATCTTGCAGCAACAGAAGTGGTTCATTTGTTGCAAGAAGTTGACTTTAAGTTCATGGAGTGTTCTCTCCACACTGATACGTTGAAACAAATCCTTATCTAGCGTAATTCTCCTTCGAATCACGAGAGAACACTGTAACAACATTCCCAAGTGATCACAACAGATAGTAGCCGGCTCTTACGAATCATTTTTCCTCTGGAAAACCCAGTAGAGGAACTTAGCGCACAAGCCACTGTATGTATTGTATTGTCTTATCCGCTGAAACATGAGAGAAGGATGCGTGGAACTCAGTACAGTGAGAGGAGTATAAGAATATGTGTTTCATAAACTACAATGTGAACACGTAATTGCTTCTCATATACAGCCAACAGCTGTTAGTGAACAATCGAAAAACAAGGACAACTTCATAATACTTGTGTCATGAACTCGTCGATCGAGGTTAGGTGCAAGGAGTGGCATTAAATCAACCGCACACCTAGAAAACATTAGGTGACTAGAAGTGGTCATATAGCTAAACTGCGGGAAAGAGATTCGCAAGAACTATTAAAAAGATAGACTTAAATGCTTCCTAGTTCCTTTGATCAGCGCGCCACATTGTCCTCTAAGTTTTCGTTCTTCATAGCCATTCTGGAATACGAGTTGGTTGAAGGCCACTGTCAACTCTCAACTCTAAACTTTAATCTTTGAACGGGAAGGATACGATGAAAAACGAAAAAAGAATAACAAAGAAACAGGAAAGAGCTCAAAAAATTGGATAATAAAGTAACATAGAGTACATCCTTCAAAGTCGCCGAATTCTTCCCCTAATTAAAGACATGCTTCCTTTTCAGCAGTACTTTAGAAGCATCACCATCACTAACCAGCTAGAGTTCAGGGAAGCCTCCATGGAGCTCTTCAATTCCAACCAGAGACCCTACAAAATTAAACCATTGACCAAACCGTAATGACGAACAAATATCTCAAAAACTTAAGAACATGTGACGTATCATCATGACAACATAGAAGTTATAGGTAACATATAGACGGTAACATTTTCAATGCGGTTCCATGAAGAGTATGTAAAGGAGTTCTAAGACTGACAACTACTAGTTATTTTGTTCTGTTCATTGGTTTGCACGAAGTAGACAAAAACACTGTGAATACGAAATCTGACGTCGTTCAACGCATAGTAAACGCATAGCAACGAGGAAGTAGAACAATAGAATAGATAGTGACTATTAAAGCAAAACACCCAGTTCCTACAAGCGCGTTAGAGTGTTAATCCCTCAAGTTTTTAATCGACCAGAAAAATACTAGGAATTGTAGAGAGAACAAAACTGTATATTATATAAGGGATAGAAAGACTTCGTAGTCCATTATGTAAGCCACCCAGTGTTTCAATTTTCAATTAGCAACCCATTGCTATTTCTTTCAGAATTAATGCGTTGATCCATGGATGACGTTGGGAGTGTATTTATTTTGTTTCAGGAAAGAAACTGCGAATAAGTCCCAATCTAAAAAGCCAAGTCCTAACAGAAATGCGGTTGAAAAATTGATAGTTGGAACACAGTGTGGTACAGGATATACGGCATATATATCCAAAAAATGCAGCAAACTTGAATCAAAAGTAAAAATGTTGAAGTAAAAACCTCAGATTCTCTTAATTTAACGGAGAATTATGACGCTCATCAAAAAGTCGGCGTGTAAGCAGGTATTCGCAAAGGGGCGCAGACGAGCTCGTCACTTTTGTGCTTACAACAAAAAAGTGCTCGTAATCGCTTTGGTAAACCGCGAAATACGGTAGCGAGGCATTATGGATTGACGAAGACGAAAAAATTCTGAAGTAGCAACGGAAGCTGTAACATATGTGATGTCGGTTCGTGCATAAAACTAAAAAAAGCTGCATTCGACTTCATTAAGCATCGTTTGGAGGTGCTTAAATGCATAACTGGCCTTTCCAATGACTCGCGGTGGCCTACCGTTGTATCGAACCAGCGTTTCTATCCTCTCAGATAAGTCTGGTAACAATTTGCCGACACCGGAGGGATGGAAGGCTTGGTGGGCCACGGGTGAGAGGGTTCGATTCCACTTGTGTGTTGCAGGGCGCCTCTGACCACTACGCCACACGCGCCTTTAAAAAAGTGAAAGCTTCGTTGGGCTCGTTGTATCACATTCGCTATCCAAGAAGACCATTGCATTTGAGAGTACGCACGCCTGTTACTCGACGATATTGTCCTGTTCATGAATCTCGTTGAATGTCTGTTGAATTAATTCCTTTCGGAGAGCTGGAATAGCTATGCTAGATCGTTCCTATGTCTTAACCTCAGACAGTCGGTAGTGTTAATGGATCGCAAGCTGCTTTTACCGAGCAATTCTGGTAGCAATTTGTGAACCCGTGAACCCGAAGCATGTGAGGTTTTTCAATGGATTGGGGAGTACGATGGTCTAATCAGCGACCATGCGTATGCTATCCCTAACTATTGCTCATCTTGCATCTCAGGTTCAAATTTAGGGTCCGAGTGGTTTAGTTGAAATTAAAGATCCCGTTTACTCCTCGACGTGTCTCGGAGTATTCAAACTGAGGCGTCCTCAGTTCTCCACCTTTTGCTGGTAGGAGAGATTGATCATGTTCCGACAACGTTGTTACTAGGATGACAGCTATTCCTAACAATAGTTTATTATTAACTAGCTTTCGACCGGTAATTTTAACTCTTCAGCTTTAAAGACCGCTCTATTTCGTTGTGCTTTCGTAGTACATTATAGCTCGATACCTATGAACATTTATTATTAGTTAGTGCTAACTTACCCTACTGTTTACAACCCTTAGCGTATGGAAGGAATTGGTTTAAATAAAGTTTTGCAGGTGTCTTTGCAGTCGTGAGTTTAATGTCGGGTAGTTGTAATCAGCGAGTATCGAACATTCTGAAAGAACATGCGTACAATGACAGTCTGGTTGACGATTTCGATGAGGATACAAGTTATAAGATCTCCGTAGCTATTCTGACCTCACTCACACTCTTTGTAGGGTTCATACAGGTAGTGACAGTAATAATTTTTTTTAGCCGTTTTACTTCATCTGCTGCCTTTTTGATTACAAGTCCATTTCGAAAATATTAGCGGACTGCTCTGGATAAGAAGAAATTGAAGAAAACATGGTGTTGTATCGAAAGACCATGAACTTATTTGAGTACTACAAATCCGTACACAAATGCTTTTGCCTAACATTTTTTCATATAGTTACTACAAGATTTTGAACCTTTGGAAACACCGCTTTCCGTTTATTACAACTTTTACGCCAAATATTTGCCTATTTAAGGTGGCCATGGCTCTTCTAAGACTGGATTTTCTCACAGCTTTTTTGTCGGATCAAGTAAGAGTTCATTATTGGTTTCGATTTTCTTCGAGAAGTGGAAGAAAATCGTTTATAGCTCAGTAGTTACGGTCGATTGGTGTTTGATTAATAACGACTAAAGTTGTTGAATCCTGTCAATTTGTTGACATATTAATCTCTTCAGATTATTGGTGGCTTTACGACAGGAGCGGCGGTACATGTGTTCACTGCTCAACTGGATAAAATCCTAGGAATCTCAATACCTCGTCACTCTGGACCAGGAAAACTATTCTTTGTAAGTTCATCGTCGAGAATTAATGATAGGGGATACCGATATAGAAGTACCATATTGAAAGATTTGAATTTGAAAGAAATTTAGGTGTACAAGGACCTAATATCCACTGTTATTGCTGGTCATGTAAACTGGATTACCTTCGGTATTTCTTTGGCTACCATCGTCCTACTATTTCTCGTCAAAACCTATATCGATCCATTACTGAAAAAGAAGTGTAAAATACCGATTCCATATGATTTGTTTGTGGTGCGTAACACATATATTATACAGACAAAAAAGAAACGACGTGCCAATAAATCAGTTTTTATCATTTCTCCAGGTCATTAGAAATTCCTCGTAATCTATCTCTTGCAGATGATAATTGGCACAATAGTTTCAACTCTAGTGAATCTACATGGTCGATTCGGTATTAAAATTGTGGGAAAAATACCACCTGGGTAAGCGTTAGCACCGTTCATAAAAGGCACATTGGTTAGTTAGTATTAACACAGAGTTCTAGTCTTAATTTCAAGGGCATGGTGCGTCTTACTAGCGCCAAATTATTCACAACACTCGCTATAAGGTGGAATTATTTCATAGTGGCTGATCTAATTTCCCACATATAAATAATATGTACACTTCTCATTAACCATACTCTTTATGGTTTTCTGTCGATATAAGGAGCAACAATCACCGTGACACGGAGGAGACATCTTATTAGCCACCACATTTGTGCTACTTTCCTACATTTACACCCTCCACATTAACAACAATCTCTGCTTCTTGACGACAAACTCCTCCGAGGAGTTCTTTTTTTACGTTGCCAAGTGTATCTTTATTAACTATTTTTTACATTCTTAAGTATGGGAGGAGTAGCGCAGTGTTAGTGACGCACTCCATCGAGAAGCAAGGTGCTGCTTCAAACTCTACCCAACGCTTCCATCTCGTTCACGTGGGAAAGCCTCAGATCGGTTATCTCCAAGATTTGAAGGTGAATCGACTTGTCTAGCATTGTACGACATTCAAAAAGCAGACGAAATCCTTAACAACAGTGGAAACAACACGCGAAATCTTCAACGACCATTGTGAATGATGAATCCGAGGAAAGCCGGTTAAATGCAAGAAGTGCTAAAATGAGGATAGTAGATTTGATGACTGGTTATCTAAAAAAGCGTTAAATTTAGCGAACGTTCTTCCTCGTATGACCCCTTGTTTACTGGTCTGTGCTGAATGAATACGAATATGTTTTAAGTTAATCGAAAATGTTTAGCGAAAACCCCAGTACGATGGAACAAATAGCGAGAAAGAAAAAGAGTTTAGATGCATATACGCTTGTCTATGGGTCATGTGGATGGAATTCAATTAACTTCGGACACCAAGTGTTATTAGGGCGTCTGTGACTATGTGAATATTCTATTTTTTTAAAAATTTTCTTACATTGATGCCTTTTGTCAGCTTGGCATGTTTTGTCTGTGAAGGAGAACACTAATCCATGCTTCCACCTCTCACTGTTTCCTCAAACCCAGTTTTCACAGATTAATAGGCTTCAATATGTGGTGATGTTGTTTGAGCAAAAAATATTTCTCCAACGACGCTTTGATATGTCTCCATTGGGAAATCAATTTGAATGACGTACTGTAGTTCTAGAGGCGATGAAATCGTTGAAAGCAGTTTCGGTCTCGGCTTGGATTTTGAAGCATTTCTCGCATAGGAAGTCTTCGAGATGCGTGAAGAAGTAGTAGTCAAAAGGCGATAGTTCCTGAGAGCGTAGTGTATAAGGCAGGACTTCGTGGCTTAGCTCTTCCAACCTGTGCAACGGCGGTGATGCGAGGTATGGCCACTCGTTATCGTAGAAAACAGTTGGTCCAGTTTTTTTGTTCATTGGTAGACGCAGACGTTACCATTTCACCCAGACACACAAAGCTATAATGAATCCAATTAGTCGTGGACCACTAAACGGTCACTACGACCATGTTTCGATGCAGTTTCGGCTTTGGAGATTCCTTTAGAGCTTCATCGCTGTCCAACCACTAAGCCAATCGTCCCCAGTTGTCGTAAAGGATCCATCGTCACACCTTACTGTTCGATCGAAAACCGGTAGTTATGGTTGCACAAAAGAGACGCCAAAGTTATATCAAAACCGCAATTTCTTTTATCGTCATTAAACATTCACGGCATTCATTTGTCCAACTTCTTCGACTTCCAATCATTTCTAGATGTTCCGAAACGATTTGGATGGTTAAATCGAGTTTTTCAACAAATTCTCGAACAGTTATGGGTTTATTTTCTCCCAAATAATCCTTCAATCCGTCTTCATCAATAGCTCCCAGGATCGACTTTCTATCAACCTCGGCGTATGAATATGTATACGTCGTTTTCTTGTTCAGCAATCGCGAGGTTGTTAAACAGCATACATTTACTTCCATAGAAAAGCACAGTACAATACAACAGTAGCTGACGTTTTGGTAGTATCGCCTTCTTCATAGCTTGGAAGGTTATGCTGATATACAATTGACTAGGTCAAACGCTTCAATAAAAAAGTTGTCAATAGCTTCTACAACCATTCTCATTTTCAAAGTCGGGTTTGTTCTGACAAAAATTTGCAAACCGATGTCGCACCTTGGATTCGTTAGGATTTCCACGACTCCATGGTCAGCTGGTGTTTCCACCCGTTTGCGCTGCCCTTCATTAGAGTTCGAATTCGTGGAAGTGAATTTGTCGAAATTACTGTTTTGACATTTGGAATTCTAACCTTAAAGTTTTGTCGGAAATTCAAACCATATTATATTACAATTCAATTAAATGGAGCGGAAATACATAAAATAGTCCTTAAACGCGGCTTATAAGAGCAGTGGATAAGCTACAAATCGTCTATTAATTTCCGGGCAAACTATTGTCAGTGAGATTTGTGGGTAAGCATTGGTATGCATCAGGAAACAAAAATGCTTGACATCGCGATCTCTAGACTCACTTATCCACTAATGATGAGTTTTAAGTGATAAATTCGTGGAACAGAACATTGCAATTGTAAAAGCTACAAATGGTCGTCTAAAAAGATCTCAGTGTTTAGCAGTTTGGCACAACACGTTTCAGATTGCCTGCACCTTCATTGCCAGATATGTCGCTTTTCCGCTATATCATCGGAGACGCCTTAGCAATAAGTGTGGTCAGCCTAGTGGTTACCATTTCCATGGGAAAGTTATTTGCAAAGAAGCACAATTATGAAGTGGATGTTAGACAGGTTCGTAACACGAATACCATCTTCACAATCCCTCCCATAACTGGAAGCCAAACCCTAGCGTGTTGTAAATTAACGTGATCCGTCCTGAGATCACGTTAGTTACTGTCATATAGAAATTTGTTTGCTTTATTTGACGTGATGCTATTTTCTCGTTTTTTTTTCTTTAAATCTAAGATGGATGCGAGAATTAGAAAGAATCGGAAAAATTTCTATAGTTTTACTTCCATTACAATGGATAGGTGACTTAGTGATATAGAACCTGATCGTTGAAAGGTAGTGCCGAACTTCAACAAGTGTCTTCTACTACAAATAAGTATTATCGAAAAATCAATATTTTTGTAGGAATTCTACGCTGTGGGTTTCATGGAGGTGCTGTGCTCACTATTCCCGGTCTGGCCATCATCTACGGCATTGGCGCGCACTCTTGTCTATGAGGCAGCTGGGACCAAAACACAGGTATTTTGTCTTTTTAGAAAGTTGGAACATAACAATCTTAATCTTTCCTTGATTTTTCGTTTGTCAGACAATTTTAATGTTCGTATTTGTCGAAAAACGCTGCGTTCTAACAGTAGATTTCGAAATAGATTTACAATGGTGTGTCTTGAAATAATCTTAGGGTGTTCGTCAGCAATGAGTTTAACAATCCAAACTTAGGCAACTGACTAATGAAATAAAATTGGTAGAATACTTGAATATCTGATAATGATGCTTCGTTTGTCAATTTAAGAAAAATGCAGCTCTGAAACGTCAATCCTTTCTTACACCGAACTCTCGTCAGTGTTCACATATAGAGTGAAAAAGGGCTCTTTCTTAACTGTGTTTCCATTTGTTTTTGTCATTGGTCAAACCAGCCCATTAAGCTCAACGCATTACTTTATGGAATGTTAGAAAGAACATCATATCTTCCACGTGACTAGTGTTTCTAACTATCGACCACCTATGGGTACCCTCAGGGTTACACTAGAGTGTGTGTGCAAATGCCGGGACACCACCTCTGAGTGTTACCAGTATGCCCTTCCCTGTCAGGTGACTGCAGATGTTTCCTCTAATCAACGTGGATTCGTTTTTTCGCATGCAGGCAAGCACACTGATGCACATGTGCATGGATATGTTAACTATTATCTGCAGTATAAAAGTCAACTGGACGCATGTAACCATGTTTTAGTTAGCAACCATCTTCTCCTCGTTGGTTCTACTTGCGGTTATTCTTTTCATGGGACAGCTTGTTGAATCATTACCTGTGTGCTTTCTGTCCTGCATCATCATTGTTGCATTGAAAGGAATGTTTATGCAACTTAGTTCCATTTCGAAGTTGTGGCCGATCTCGAAGACCGATTGTGTGAGTTAGTTTACTTACCATATTATCATATGTTTTTATATATGATTCAATAACAGGCAATATTCACGGTCTGCTTCGCAGCTACGGTTCTTTACGACGTTATCGAAGGTCTTCTGATTGGAACCTGTTTCGCTGCTGCGCTGCTTATGTATACTATTCAGAAGTGATTTGCATAAACTTTTTCTGTATTTATTGACTTTACCATTCGTTATGTAATATGCTTTTTTCAGATCGAAAGTCGTGGAAATTGGACGACTAAGTCACAATGAGGGTCAATCATATTTTCAGCCAATCGATAGTTATAGGTTTGGTTTATATCTATGTTGTAAATTTGTTATCCTTGATATAAACGAGCATCTGTGGGCTTTACTATTCGTTGCCAATGTAACATATCAACTCGGCTTATCATAAAAATCAATGACGTAGAGAAATACTCTGGTCAAAGAAGTATAACATGTCTTGTGTTTTTATAATAGGCTCTGTTACCTTTAACAAAATTCAAGTTATAGTCAAAAATAAATAATGTACTCTATATGATTCGTTGGATCAATAAAAAGCAAACAGTAAGTACCTTCTCGCTTCTAACAACTAACCACTTTAACTCAAAGCTATGTGATAGAAAAGTTCTTATCAGACTTTGAACAAAACCAAAATACCATCGTAAACGGACGTTTTCATGCTGCGATTATGATTGCAGCAGTGACAGTAAGATGATGTTTGAAAACCTATTACGAAGTGTTTCTTACGTCAGCGTTTCACTGTAAGGCTTCAAATTAGCCTTTAATACAGGACATATGTAAAACTTTTATTATCAGTGTTTTGAATATTTGACGTGAATTCACCTGTCACCTGTATCAGCTGTAGTCCCGTTAATCACCGAGTGACTTAAGCGGGCGCCCGTAAACCTTCCATTATTCTCTGTCGCTCGCAAGAGTAGCCCAGTGGGTTCTGTTCGCACTAGGGACTCGTCGTTCATCATATCTTTCGTTAAGGCTTTTTGTGAAGAACTCTAACCATCGGGTCGATGGTTGTCCTGCAGTGCGTTTGACATCTTGAGGAATCCAGACGCCAACAGCTTTTGTCTATCGTTTGACATTCATACGCATTACGTGTCCGGCCCACCTTATCTTCGACTGCTTGGCTTACAGGATGGCATCTTTGATTTTTGTTCGTTGACGCAGTTTGGAGCTTCCGATCTCTTTCCTCACTTGTGTGAAACGGGACGCTCCTAGCATCGTCCTTTCGACTACGCGTTCAATAACGTTGAATGATTTTTCATCCTGCTTGCGCAGCGACCAGGTTTCTGACGCATAGGTTAAGGCAGGAAGTACCGTTGAGTCGAAAAGGTGGGCACGGAGTCGGGTGTTCTTTGTTCTCTTTACTACATCCTCGATACTCTTGAAAGCTCTCTAAGCTGGTCGTTACCTTTTGCTCAGTTCTGGAGCTAAGTCGTTCAACATGTTGATTTCCCGATCGAGACAGACATAACTGTAGCATTCGGAAACATTCGTTCCGTATGAGCGTGAATAGGGCATACGAAACCAATCCCTTCCTCATGAACATCGTTTTTGTGAGATTTAGTCGAAGACCAATCTTTCCACAACTTTTATCAAAGTCGGCAAGCATTGCATCCGCTTCGCTAATGTTTGATGTTATAAGGACGATGTCATCAGCAAAGCGAAGATGATTTAACTACTGACAATTAATTTTCACTCCTAAATTATCCCATTCCAATGTTCGCATGACTTTCTCGAGGGCGGCGGTAAATAATTTTGGCGAGGTAGTATCGTCTTGCCTAACTCATCTTTTGACGTCAATGCTAATATCGTTGTAAAATGGTGATATCTTCGTTCTTACATTTTTGTACAGCTCACGAAGAATATGTACTGAGTAAGTACTCCTTGACTATCAAGGGTTTCCATGACTGCTTCTATCTCAGTTGAACCAAAGCCCTTTTGTAAATCGGTGAAAGGGAGGCAGAGCTGTGCTCTGTACTCTCGCTATACTTCAGTGAGCCGTGTTACCGTGTGGATGTGGTCCATCGCATTAAATCCTTTTAGTATTAGTATCCTGGGTAATGCTTGCTGTTATAAGGACGATGTCATCAGAAAAGCAAAGATGATGTAACTGCCAACTATCGATTTTCACTCCCATATTAACCCACTCCAATGTTCGCTTGCCTACCTCCTCTTCTGATGTCAATGTTAGTATCGTCGTAGAATGGTGTTGTCTTGGTTGTGAAATTTTATACAGCTTACGAAGAATCTTTATATACTGACTAGGGACTCCTTGGCTATGAAGGGCTTCTATAACTCCTATCTCATTCGAGTCAAAGGCCTTCTTTAAATCGGTGAAGGTGAGACAGAGCGGTCTTTTCTACTCTGGCGATACTTCATAGAGTCTTGTTATCGTGTCGATGTGGTCCATCGTACTAAATCCTTTTCGAAACCCTGCTTGCTCACATGGCTACCCTTCGTCCAGTGTTCTGTCAATCCTGTTTAGAATGATTCGAGTGAAAAGTTTGTAGACAACAGACAACAAGCAGATTGGGCGATAGTTGCCAATATCGTGTAGGTCACCCTTCTTGAACAATAACAGGGTCTTGTTGGCCTTCCACTGAGTAGGAGCCGTGCATTCAGATAGGTAACTTGTGAAGAGCCGAACCAGTGTGTTTACGAGGCGTTAGGTTGTTCACATATTCTGATATTGTCCTGCCCGGACCTCGCGCTGTTCGATTTTTCACCGACGAAATGGCACGTCCAATTTTAGAAGGGACAACCGGTGGGACAACATACCCATCCTTCATTATTTCCTATGACGGAAGGTGGACGCCGTTATTGAAGAGATCTTAGTGGTATTTGTGAATGATTTTCACCATTGTCTTTCTGGGCGTTGTAACTGTTCCGTCTGGGCGTCAGTGTGCAATCATTTTGTTCTTGTAATTGGCGAAGCATCGGTGGGCTTTGCGAATGCTTTTTCCAGTCTCTGCAGCTTCGATCATTACTGCTGCTCTTTTCTCCTTAAGATCTTCATTTATCGCCTGTCTGCATTGTTTTGCAAGTTCGGACGTTAGTGCACGGTTGCTTGCGGCTCGTGTGATTCCACGCTGGCGTATCAGCTCGGGTGTTTCTTGAGACAGACGACTGTTGGTAGCTTTCGAACCCTCAGCTTTCATAGCGCTAACGTGAAGATATTGAATGAGCCGATCGTATTCTTCGTCGAAGTTATCGACAACGGCATCTTCGCAACAGCCGACTAATGAACTGAATAAGTCACAGTTTGTGGTGGTTCTGGGACTTGGGTTCTTGAATTTAGCGGCTTTTTCTTCTTTCTGCGAGAAATAGAAAATTGCACGAAGGAGACTGTGGTCTGATCCCGCGTAGATTTTTGGGGCAACAGTGACATCGGGTAGGCAAAACCTTCTTTTTACTATGATGCGGTCCATTTCGTTATGGTACTCTCCATTGGGAGACTCCCGCGTCCAGTGTTGAGGGTAGGGCTTCCGGAATTGCGAGTTACCATGGATGGTCTTGGTCGCCATGATAAACTCAGATAGCCGCTCACCCTGTTCGTCTCATTCTAATCCGTGGGTCTCAATGTGACGTTCTTCAGACGTTCTTCTTGGTCCAATCTTGGCGTTGAAATCTCCAGTGATGACCTTGAAGGATGTGTCGTCTTCTCTGTAGAACTTCTCCAAGTCCATATAGAACGCTTCAACTTCTTCTTCGTCATAGTTTGATTTCGGAGCGTAAACGACGAATGTTGTCAAACTTGGAATTAATCCACTTCTTCTTAATCGTAAACGTCCGATTTGGGTTGTAAGTTGTTCGAATGAATCGATGTTCATGGACGAACTCGTGCTGACTAGAACGCCGACGCCACCGACTCCTCTACTGTCGCATGTTCCGACGAACACTTCTCCGGTGTCATAGACGGCGTTGAAAGGTTGGCGTCTTCTCGCCTCGGCCAGGCCGTTGACGTCGTACCTTATAGTTTTTGCTTGCATGAGCATGTCTTCTATTGAGGACTCGGATGCAAGTGCACGTGCATTCTAGGTGCAGTTCGTCACCATAGTTCTTTGAAATCCAGGCAGCTTCCATTGGTCCTCAGATTTCAGCTGCCTCTCCTACTCGTCCTACCCAACGCTGCGAAATTGGGGCCTCTTTCGGAGTCAGGGGAATGAGGCCGGTTTTTTTATTGCGTTTAGCATTTTGATACCCACGTATAGCTTGCTGGGCTTTGAACGTGAGGGCTGCGTATACTCACGGGTAGCTTGCCAGGCTCTCCCAGAGTGGACATGGAGCTTATTTGTTGGAGGCGAGACCTAACCGCCTCCCATATAGTTCCCTGTCACTTAACTGTAGGCTTTTGGCCGAATTGGATCGTAGAATAGAATCTTCACAGGCTAGCGCGCACTCGCACACGCGTGCATGAATACGCCTTGTAGATACAGAAACTATGTGCCATGTCGGCGCAGCAGAAACATGGAGTCCTTCTCCTGGATCCACCTGCGTCTCGTTAAAGGAAAGGTCGCTTTTGGTCCGCGATTAATCCTTTATCCGCCACCTGGGGACGCGCCACGTGGCTTTGCGACTGACCGACTCGAGATCCCTCATATGAAGGAGATCCGTGGAATTTCACATCATACCATGAAAAATTATGAAAGGATGAAAAGGATATAGCTCTCGGCGTTAATCATTTCCTGAGGGATCCGCCGTGCATTCGACATCATAAAGCATCGTTTGGAGGCGATTGAATGCATGTCTGGCCTTTACAATGATTTGCCGTGGGCCACCGATGCATCGAGCCGGTGGTGCTCTCCTCCCAGACAAGTCTCGTACCAATTTGCCGACCCCGGCTGAATGGAAGGCTTGGTGGGTCATGGGCGCGAGGATCAACTCCACGTGTGTTCTGCAGGGCGCCTCCGTCCACTGCGCCATACGTGCTCTTTAAAAAATATACTAGGCGGAAAATAAAAGGCTATCATTAGCAATAATTTTTTTTGATTTGATACACTTATATATCATTTCAATGCTAATTTTATGTCCTTTCACATTGTTTAATTGAACTCCAATATAATTTAAATTATTTTCAAGCTTTCCAAGGTCGAAACAGCGAATTAGGAAAATTTTCCTTCATGAATACATACTTGCTCGAACGCTGCGCAAACTGCTGAGAATATGAAGTGATACGGGCCAAGGAAATGCTTACGGACGCGTTCGGCTTGGGAAATTTCATTGTGGCAAATTCGACCTTAAAAATTAGAGGTCGCCAAAGGAAGTTTGTTATTGACGGCGACGATTTGAAGTTTTTTTGTGAGAGCAAATAGATGCACGATTGTTCGAGAGCTTGCAGAAAGATTCGATAAAACATAATAAATAGTTCTTGTCAACTAAGGAAGATTTTAAAGT